GACCTGTCTTTCCCTGCCCACTTCTTCCTGGTATGCAAATCTGAACCTTATCTAGTTTCAGGATTCCTTGAAAGGCAAACAGGTTAAATGAGATAGATGTAAAAGGCTATTCAGTGGCCAAAATCTCCTTGAACGTTGACAGTATTCGCAACAGCTGATTTTGTAGCTAGCCTCCATATTCCAAAGACCTCATTAGGTGTGGAGGAGATGGCTTGAGCAGAAAGAGGAGACAGAGGGAAGGCCAAGAGAGGAAGCTTCTCAGGATCTTTCTCTTCCCTCTCTCAYATTCTTTTAGGTGTGAAATATTCTTTATTTAGGTCCTAGGTGGTTAGTAAGGGCATTTTCATGTTTATCTATGCTGTGAATTTAAAGTGTTTTGAGACCAACAGTCAAAATTCAACGTGTTTGAAGCAGAGGTTATATTTAACCAGTTACTTCAGTATTTGGGGATGTATTAATAATAATATCCACCGATACTTGTTGTGTTCTTAATTTGGTGCTTAATTAAGGGCACAATCGTAGAACTAGGATGATTATTTTCTCTATTTTAGAATTGGGGGACTAAAAAACAGTTCCTCTAGTTACATAGGTAGGAAAGAGCAGGGCAGGATCTGTCCCTAGCAGCCTGTCTCTACAGCCTGGTTGCACAGCCCTTACCAACCCTGAGCTGCCTCCTTCCCATGTGCTTGCTGGGAAGCTGGCATATAGAGATTCCATATCCTGGGTCCCCTATTGCATCCCCCACTCCCTTCCTGCCTTGCCCCAAACAAAATGCTATATCTTAGAGTTGAATGCAGGAGGTCTCAGTTCTCCCACCACTAACTGTGCACTTGAACCCTCCAGTCCTGAGTCTGGTGCTTCGGCCACCTGAGCATTTCTCCTGATCACTGTTATTTCTACAACCCCCATTGCAATTCTTATGATCACCCTCACTTCCTTTATTGCTGGGCCAGGCCATCTTACCATGCAAGTCTTCCCCCTGATTGCCAACTCCTGTTTTCTGTTGCCTCAGCTTGGCATCTCMTCAAGACCCCACATCTTCAGGACCCAACCCATACAGAAGAAGGGATAGAGTGTCCCAGGGTGTGGTTGGGGTGGAGGCTGAAGTGGTTTTATTTCTACCCCAATGGAAGTGCTCTGGTTTGTGGAAGCCCTGTTCTKATTTGAAGGTTGAGCACTTGCCCTCTAGGCCTTTTGCTAAAGGGTTTGATAATTCCGTGCTTCAAGTCAGACTGAACTGATTTCAACCATGTCGGCCAATGAGAGGAAAGTAGAACTAAGTGCAGACCCTTTGCACTCTTGCTTTGAGTATTCCCTTAACTACAATGATTTCCACTTTTCATTTGAGGTGTCCCCTTGAGAATTTTTAAAAGTATGAGATCAGAATTGATTTCCTTTGGGAACCAGGGATGCACTTGGTCATGATTCTTGGCAGAGTGAAAAATAAGTTCATTTATATTTTCCTATCGGGAGAAAGCTGCTGACATTATAGACTGTGGCCATTTAATATCRAACACATATACTGACAATCTGATGGATGGTTTGAGAGGTTGGAAATCTTGAGCAAAGAAACACCTTTTACTCTGAGACGGGAAGTGGGAAGACAATTCTGGAGTCCCTAAAAAAGGGCAATAGTGCAACTTCTGTGACAACCTCAGGTGCCATATTTATCCAGTTGCTCAACCAGGGATTATGCTGTTGTCTAAAAAATTTGATCATCTACTAAATGAAAGTCGTTCTTTTAATATTATTTGATTTTTAAATTATTTTTTTTAATATTTATTTTTTAGTTTTCGGCAGACACAACATCTTTGTTTGTATGTGGTGCTGAGGATCGAACCAGGGCCACATGCATGCTAGGCGAGCGCACTACGGCTTGAGCCAAATCCCCAGCCCGATTTTTAAATTATTAATTTGTTTTAAAATCTTGACCAGGGTTGTTTGGCTAATATTAAGTCTTTAAATAATGTCCCCCAACCCTTTTTTTTATTTGTTTTCTTTTGGTGGTACAAGGGTTTGATCCCAGGGGTACTTTATCACTAAGCCACATCCCCAGATCTTTTTATTTTTTTATTTTTTATTTTGAGACAGAGTCTTAATAAGTTGTTGAGGCTAGTGTTGAACTTGCAATCCTCCTGCCTTAGCCTCTCAAGTTGCTAGGATTACTGGCAAGGTCCTCTTTTTAAAATGAAGTATGTGGGCTGGGTGGGGTGGTGCACCATCCAGTGGCTTGGGAGGCTGAGGCAGGAGGATCACGAGTTCAAATCCAGTCTCAGCAACAGCAAGGCACTAAGCAACTCAGTGAGACCCTGTCTCTAAATAAAATGCAAAMAAGGGCTGGGATGTGACTCAGTGGTCGAGTGCCCCTGAGTTCAATCATTGATACAAAAAAAGAAAGTATGTTTTTCTTTTTTAATGAATAGAGTTTCAGTTTGAGATGACTGCAGATGGTGATGGCCATAGAACATTATGACTATATTTAATGTCACTGAATTGTTCACCTAAAATGATTAAAATAGTAAATTTTATGTTAGGCTCATTTTGCCAAAATAAATTTTTTTAAAAAAATTAAAACAAAAGTACGTTAATATTTGTAGGAATGGGACCAGTACTTTGCTTCAAATTGCAACCACCTCCACCCCAATTTACTCTTCTCTCTCTCTCTCTCTCTCTCTCTCTCTCTTTCTTTGCAGTACTGAGAATGAAATTCAGGGTCTTGTGCATCCTGCTCAAGTATTCTACCATTGAACTAAATTCCCAATCTCTTTTTCTTTTTTTTAAAATATTTTTATTAATTGTTCATGGACCTTTATATTATTTACTTATTTATATGTGGTACTGAGAATCGAACCCAGTGCCTCGCACATGCTAGACAAACACTCTACCACTGAGCCACAACCCCTGCCCCCTTTTTCTTTCTTTTTTTCAAATATTTATTTTTTTAGTTGTAGTTGGACTAAATATCTTTATTTTATTTATTTTAATATGGTGCTGAGGATCGAACCCAGAGCCTTGCACGAGCTAGGCGAGCTCTCTACCKCTGAGCCACAATCCCAGCCCCACCTTTTTTCTTTTTTAATGAAGCACAGCATACTACAGTAAGTGCAAAGTGCATACATCATGATCTTAGCTATTCAGTTCACTGGATATTTATACAAGTTCATACTCAGATAAYCACCACCCAATGTATATGTGGATGTTCCAGCACCCAAAAGGTTCCTTCTTATATCTAAGTTCCCCAGATAGAACCTCTGTTCTGACCTCTGTTGCCATCAATTGACTTTGCCATTCTTAGACTTCACATACATGGAATTAGGCAGTAAGTGATCTTTTGCTTCTGGTTCTTTTCACTTAGAATACCTATGAGATTGATCCATTTATTAATGTCAAACTTTATTTTTTTTCTATTGCTGTGTTTCCATTGTGAAATATACCACTATTTAATGTCTTTTCTGTCGAAGGATATTTGGATTGCTTTGACTGGGACTATTACAAATAAAGGTGCTATGAACATTCTTTTAAAGTCGTCTTTTTGGACACAGAGCTAGGAGTAGGGCTGCGGAAGCATAAGGTGAAAATACTTAGCTGCATTGATACTGCAATTTTACTAATTTGCCTTCCCACCAGCAAGACGTGATAGTTGCTGCTGAATAAATACACCAACATTTGGTATTGGTATTTTTTCTCTTTCAAACTGTTCTGGGGGCATGTGGTTATGCCTTGAAATTTAAATGATACGAAAATGGAAAATGCCTCTTTTTTTTTTTTAATTGTGCAAATGTGTGAAGTTCTAACCCTCAGTAAGTGGCTCCAAAGCCAGTGGAGCAGAATGGAGCTGCCTTTGAGGCCTCAACACTGTGGCTGAACACCTCTTTTATGAGATGCTCTACAGAGTGCCTGGTGTCATGTAGATTCTCCAATCATTTYCTCCTGATGTACTTTTTWAAAATTTTTTTTATTAGTTGCTCATGACAATACAATGATCTTGACATATCATACATTTGAATAAAATGGGGTRTAATTTCTCGTTTTTCCAAGTGTACAGATTGCAGAATCACATTGGTTATACAGACACGTTCCTGATGTACATTAAGCYATTTTAGAAATGTTCTGTGCACCGCCCTATCCTGCCTTTTGTGCTGCTCACAGTTCTTTTTTCGCCAGTGCCATTGTTTGTTTTTCTACCAGATTTTTTTTTCCAGTTATTCAGTCCTCCTCTTACCTACACATTTCACTTTCCACAGTTTCGGTTAGCCATGGTCCAAAAAATATGAAGTGAAAATTTCCAGAAATAATCGATTCATAACTTTTGAATCACGTGCAATTCTGGGTACCATGATGAAACCTTGCACCATACTGTCTGGGAGGTAAATCATCCATGTGTTCAACATTCATGCTGCGGATACTCCTCACCCTGTCTTGGTTATCAGACCAACTGTCACCATATCTCTGTGCTTGGGTTTATGTAACCTATAACTAATATTTTACTCATTAATGGCCCCAAAATGCAAGAGTAGTGATGCTGGCAATTCAGACACGCTGGGTAGTGCTTCGAGTGAAGAGATTAAAATTCTCAACTTCATAAGGAAAGAAAAAAGATTCTATGTCAAGGTGGGTAAGATCTACTGTAGGAATGAAACAGTATATAAAGGGCTGGAAACTTAAGAACTAGCAGTGGACTTGGAATGTATTCTCTGCACTTAAGGGGAGACCACTGATTTTGAAGTGTGACGTGATGGGTACTATACACCATCATCTTAACTCTATTCTTTGAAATGATTGTAGAAGATCTTATAGAAGATCATACTCTGACCTGCAAATGACAGGCACAGGTTTGCCTAACTTGACATTTTTTTTCACTTCACACACTGGTGCTACCCTGAGTATGGTATCTAAGCCACTGGGCACACGGTTCCACTCAGATACCTTGTTGTTTTGCAGCACTCCTTACTGAGAACCTGTCTTCATCCTCTCTCTTTTCCTTCCAACCTCTCTTGTAGCTCAAGAGGGCCAGTAGTGAGGATATGCTCAACAAACCTGGAAGTACCACCTCATCAGGGGTAGTTCGACTGAAAAAGACTTCGACAGCAGGAGCCATCTCTGAGCTAGCTGAGAGTCGCCTGAGGACCAATACAGGTAGGAGGGACCTGGGTAGGAGGGACTAGGAAGCCATTCATCTTGGCCATACAAAAGCACATTGGTGATGCATTCCTCTCTTCCCTCATCAGATTTTTATTAATCACTCACCCTGTGCCAGGAACTGATTTAGGGAGTGTCCTTGCCCTCAGGGGAGTTTAACGTGTATCCATGTKGAGAGAGATGAGAATCAGAAAGGTCACAGGAAGTACGTGTGATGGTTTGCTCAGTCTGCTCTATAATCCCCTTGTTACCATGCCTGTGTGAAATCCTTGGGCTCCAGGCAGGGTGGTGTAGGTTCTGCAAAAAGGTTTTGAGCATTCAGATAAGAAAGCTAAGTATTCCATGGACTCACTCTTATCACACAACTCTCCCTGAATTGCTAAATGGTTTAAGAAGGGAAAATAACTGAAATATGTCATCATTCATTTATAATAGATGTTGAAGATTRGTACACTTATGATTTTGTATTCTTCATAAAAACATGTTCTAGACTACCTTTCCAAAGGTGTATTTTAATTTATTCAGTTTTCAAAAAAGTTGAATCGCTAAAGGTTGTATGTGGCTTTTGGATGTGAGGGAAATTGCCTGGTGTTTCTATATAAAAGTTTTACTATTTTAAAGACTGATTTCATATAAACACACACAAACTCACACACACACATGCAAACACACACAAAYACACATAACTTAAAAAAATACAACAAATGGTTGGGCATGGTGATACTTGCCTGTAATCCCAGCTGCTTGGGTGGCTAAGGCAGGAGGATCACAAGTTTGAGGTTAGCCTGGGCAACTTAGTGAAACCCTGTCTCAAAATAAATTTTTAAAAATATATATWTTTTTTAGTTGTTAATGGACCTTTAWTTTTTTTWAATTTATTTATATGTRGTGCTGAGAATCAAACCCAGTGCCTCACACATGCTAGGCAAGCGCTCTACCACTGAGCCACACCCCCAGTTCTCAAAATAAAAATTT